ATAATAGATATACATATTTTCAGGGTATATGTGATCATTTGATATATTCATAGAATGTGTAAAGATCAAATCAAGATAATTGGGCTATCACCTTAAATGTTGATCTTTTCTTTATGCTAGGGACATTTGAATTATTCTCTTCTAGCTATTTTAAAATGTGTAATAGATTAATATTAACTATAGTTATATTAACTACTGTTTGATCTATCAAACAGTAGGTCTTATTTCTTCTGTGTATTTGTACCCACTTATTAATCAATTTCTCTTCATACCCTCTACCATCATTCTTCCCAGCCTCTATATTCATGAGCATCACTTTTTTAGCTCCCACATATAAGTGAGAACATGCGATATTTGTCTTTCTGTGCTTGGCTTATTTCACTTAATATAATGACCTCCAGTTCCATCCATGTTGCTGTAAAGGACAGGATTTCATTCTTTTTATGGCTGAATAATATTCCTTTGTGTATATATACCACATTTTCTTTATCTGTTCATCCATTCATGGGCATTAGGTTGATTGCATATTTTGGCAGTTGTGAATAGTGCTGCAATAAACATGGGAGTGCAGATATGTCTTCAATACATTGATTTTCTTTCTTTTAGATATAATCCCAGTAGTGGAATTAATGCATCATATGGTAGTTTTATTTTTAGTTTTTAGAGGAACTTCCATACTGTTTTCTGTAGGGGCCATGCTAATTTGCACTCCCACCAACTGTGTGCGAGAGTTCCCCTTTCTCCACATCTTCACCCTGCCTTTTTGATAAAATCCATTTTAACTGAGGTGAGATGATGTCTCCTTGTGGGTTTGATTTGCATTTCTCTGATGATTAGTGATGCTGAACATTTTTTTCATATATCCGTTGGCCATTTGTATGTCTTCTTTTGAGAAATGTCTATTCACAGAACACTTTCTAAAAAATAATTTTGTAAAAGTATAATTGTAAGGAACACTCTTTGGGGAAATGCTGGTATAAAATTAAATTCAGTCATACAATCTAAGGTGGAACATTAGTTGATGGATTTAAACAGCTCTAATGACATAATTTCTTAAAATACAGATGCTCCTCAATTTATGATGGGGCTACATACCAATAAACCTATTGTAAGTTGAAAATAGAAGTCAAAAATGCATTTAATACACTAACCTACTGAACATCAAATGTTGTAGCTTAGCCTACACTACCTTAAATGTGCTCAGAATACTTACATTAGCTATCGGTTGGGCAGAATCGTCTAACACTAGGCCTATTTTGTAATGGAGTGTTGAATAGCTCATGTAATTTATTGAATACAGCACACTGAGAGTACAGTATTGGTTGTTTACCATCGTGATCGCTTGGCTGACTGGGAGCTGTGGCTCCCTGCCACTGCCCAGCACCACGAGAGAGTATCATACCATACATTGCTAGTCTTGGGAAATAACAAAATTCAAAATTTGAAGTGTGCTTTCTACTGAATACATATCACTTTTGCACTATGGTAAAGTGGAAAAATCTTAAGTAGAACCATCAGAAGGTGGAGCCTTACTTTTTGTAAGGTTCTAAAATCAATCAACACATACTGAGTCAGCACATCAGGTTAGGTGCTTTGGAGGATACTGTGAAGATTCCCGTCTTTATGGAGCCAAGTAGAGGAGTCAGGTTATAGATAGAGAGATAGATATAGATTTATATTCAAAGCTTTGTTTATTTTTTTTTCTTCTCCCCTGCACTCGGTCTTCCTCTGCCCGATCCCTTTTCTTTCTTCCACTCTCCATGCGCTGAGCAACAGGGCACCTGCCGCAGTGAGCGGAGTTGGGAAAACTTAGAGGGTTGCTCGCCTTACTTTTTCTTTCTCGCTCCTTCCAGGTAGCGCTGGGGGCCTGTACTTTCCCCGCCTACCTGGTCTGAGCCCAGAGTGGGTCCCAGCTGCAATGCTGGTGGCAGCACCATCGAAGTTAAATAATAGTAAATACATTATATTAGGTCATTAAATATAAAATGTCTGATTTCGAATCAAAAGTTTAGTTTATTATATCTCAAACAAGAAGCAGTATAATTAATCAAAGTGTGTGCCTAAACTATAGACACAGCTTTGCCATCTTAATGGTAGCTTGTTTATGCCAGCAGTGAAGAAGCCTGGAAAGCAAGTGGTGATGAAATTGTAAAAGGCGTTTTCCACAGCTTGTTGAGAATTGAATATTTTTCCTTGCAAGAAGTGGTCCAAAGCCTGGAAGAAGTGGTAGTCAGGTGGTGCAACATCTGGTGAATATGGTAGATGATAGAGAGTTTCTCAGTCCAACTTCTGTAGTTTGAATAGTGTTGTTTGCGATATGTGGTCTTGCAAGAGGATTGGCCTGTCTCTATTGACCAATCTCAGCTGCTTAATCACAAGCATCCCCATCATTTTGTCCAAATGGTTCAGCAGACATCCACTGTAATGGACTGACCAAGTTTCATGAAGCTGTAGTGGATAATACTAGTTTGGACCACCAAACCGACACCATTAGCTTTTTTTGATGAATATTTGGTTTTGGACTGCATTTTGGCACTTCATCTTTATCTGACCATTGTGTCGAACACTTGTGATTGTCAAAAAGAATCCATTTTTCATCACATGTAATAATACGGCATAGAACTGGGTTGCTTTTATGTCGTGACAGCAAAGAAAGACAAACTTCGAGATGATTTCTCTTCTGATGCTTGTTTAATTTATGTGGAACCCATCTATCCAGCTTCTTTACCTTGCTGATTTGTTTCAGTCCAATATTGTTGGAACAGCAATGTCAAACCTTGCTGCTAATTCACGTATAGGTTGAGATGGATTCTCTTCCACTATAGCTTTCAGCTCATCATTATCCACTTTGGTCTCAGGTCGCCCTCGTGGCTCATTTTCAAGATTAAAATCACCAGAACAGAATTTCTCAAACCATCGACGTACTGTGTGTTCATTAGCCACATCCTTCCCAAACACTTTGTTGACATTTCGAGCTGTCTCTGCTGTATTGGTTCCACAATGGAACTCATATTCAAAAATAACACGAATTTTTTGACTTATCCATGGTTTCACAAAAATTGCTCCAAAAAAAATATTTGAAAGATAATCACAAGCCAAAATGCGTGTTTATACCTTCACAATAATAAAAAAAAAATCACCAACACCAAGAAGTATCAAAGTGAAATGTCAGAGATATCAACTGTCAAACTTAGTACTTTAGGAAATCAGACATTTCATACCCAGTAACCTAACATCTTGCTACAGAAGTAGAGAGGTTTAGCCCGGCCGCGTGCCTGGAGTTGGAGGCTGCGGGGAGGTATGATTGTGTGACAGAGTGAAACCTCTTTAAAAAAAAAAAAAAAAAAAAAATCTTGAGGAGGAAGAAAAAGAAGGCAGTGCTGCTAATATACATTCTTATAGAATGTCCAATTCCACACCCTCAAAAAACTTGTAGTTGTGAAGGGAGCCAATAAACACAAATGTGAAGTCAGGTAGTGGGAAGACTGAAGAACAGAGCAGAGGGAAAGAATGAGGAGTGACAAGGGCAGGGCTGGGGAGTGGGGAAGTGTTATTGTTGATAGACTGTTGAAGGAAGGTACGTCTGAGGAAGTGAACATTCAGAGACCTCAGTCAAGTCAGCAAACAGCCATGTGATGCCCGGAACTCTCTTCCCCAGAAGACTGAGCTTTGTGTGTTCAAGGACAAGCAGGAAGGCCGGTTTGACCAGAGCAGAATGACAGAAAAGGCAAATGATAGATCGGGTTAGAAAGATGTGAAGCCTGTTAGTATTCTGAGGCTGAGGGGAAATCTTTGGGTTTTTTGTTTGTTTGGTTCATTTTTTATGTTATTTGTTTTGTTTTGGAAGCCTTTGGTTTTGTTTTCATGTTTTATTGTGCAAAATTTCCAACATATACAAAGTTCTAGAGAGTGTCATGTATTGAATCTCTAATATCCATTACTCAACTTAAACAATTATAAACACTTGGGCAATCTTGTTTTGTCTATACCTCTGCCTACTCCACACACTTTACCCAGCATCTGGATTGTTTTGAAGCGGATCCAAGACATCATTTTATGTCTTCCATATCTATTTCAGTATGTATCTCTGAATGTGGTGACATTATCACATCTAAAAAAACCCAATGATTTCTTAATATCGTCATATATCCAGGCAGTATTCGAATTTTCTCCACTGTCTCAAGTTTTATTCATTTTGTTTCTCAGTGTGCTCACTTGACTCAGGCTCTTAAGTTTCTTAAGTCTCTTTTAATCAATAGGTTTCTTCTCCATCTCTTTCTTTCTGTTTTTTCCTCTTACAAACTGAAGAAACCAGGAGGTTTGCACTGTAGTCTCTCATATTTTGGGTCGCACTGATTGCATTGCTGTGGCATTTTTAAAATATTTTCCTCTGTCTACTATATTTCTTGAAAACGGGTACTTAGATCTAGAAGCTTGATGAGATTGGGTTCATTTTTTTGGCAAGAATACTTTATAGATGGTGTTATGTGCTTACATCAGAAGAAATATAATGTTTTGTTTATCTCTTCTTAATATGTAAGAGGCCATTGATTATCCCCCAGATCTATTAATTTATTAACGGATCATTGCAAAGTGCTGGTATTTTAATTCTATGCTTTAATTATTTTCTAGAGAACTTTCTGTGAAGAGAAACCTAAGATACATTAATAGTTTGTATAGGAAAGGCAGGGTAAAGGATTGATTCTTTCCATTTATCTATGCATATATGTATGTATGAATGAATGAATGAGGCAGAGTTTCACTCTGTTGCCCAGGCTGGAGTGCAGTGGCACCATCATAGCTCACTGCAGCCTCAAACTTCTGGGCTCAAAGAATCTGCCTCAGTCTTCTGATTAGCTGGGCCTGCAGGTGTCTGCCACCATGCCAGCTTTTCCTTTTATTAACTGGATTTTAAAATAATGAATTGTTTCCCTAGCATCCTTAAAAAGTGACCAGTGAGTATTTTATTTTAATATAATATGAATTCATAGATTATAACACTTTTATGTGTTTTACTCTGTTGCCATTATTATTCATTTTTCACGTTCACATTGTCATGTTTTTTACCAGCTTCTTTAAATTGACTGAGTCCTTTTGTCAAGACCCAGTAGTCACAGATAGCCTCCGTACTTTCTGGTGTGAAAAGATATCCAGATTCATCTTCTACATTTTCTGCCCTGGATCTGAGATTAGCCCTTTCTCAGAGGAATCGTGGTTCTTTTTAGTGGGAAATTATATTTAGCATTCAAATCAATTGATATATCACTAAAAGTATCAAGACATTATTGTATTTATGGTTTTTTAAATTATAAAAGTAATGAAACTGTTATGATGTTTTATTTGAAAATTACAGAGTTTCTGTTCTTTAACAGGATTGGTGAGCGTGCTATTCTACTGGGAGGACTCATCGTTGTCTGGGTTGGCTTCTTTATCTTGTTACCGTGGGGAAATCAATTTCCCAAAATACAGTGGGAAGGTATAGCTATACATAATTCTATAATGTTAGCCTCTGTTATTTATCTAAAATTAATAAGTAAGGCACTACACTAATTTCGTTTTTACAGATTTACATAATAATTCAATCCCGAATACCACATTTGGGGAAATTATTATTGGTCTTTGGAAGTCTCCAAGAGAAGATCACAGTGAAAGACCAACTGGTTGCCCAATTGAACAAGCGTGGTGCCTCTATACCCCAGTGATTCATCTGGCCCAGTTCCTCACATCAGCTGTGCTAATTGGAATAGGCTATCCAGTCTGCAACCTTATGTCCTATACGTTATATTCAAAAATTCTAGGACCAAAACCTCAGGTAAGCCAGCTACC